ACCACTTGAACGTCCATTGAATTTGCATCTATCTTATTTGCAGCTTCTAGCACTGATATAATAATAATAATAATAATAATAATAATAATAACAGTAATAATACGATTTATCATTTTTTTTATTTCAACTTACAAAGCTCATCATCGCTGTCTCTAGTATTAGAAAATTTTGTATAAGTATTTTTTCTCTCGCTTTCCTTAACCGAATTACCTTTATCTACTGAATTACATTTTAATAATAAAAATATTTGAGTTAATATAAAATAAACGCGAATAATATTATTATGTATGCTCACCGTAAAAATTTTTCGAGTTGCTGGTACCGTAATTAACCACATTTTTCACACAGACCANGCTGGTACCGTAATTAACCACATTTTTCACACAGACCAATTTTATTTCATTTTCTATATTTACAGAACGCATTTTCAATACTTTATCAGTTCCTATTAAATACATTTTTAATAAAAAATTAAATTTTTGAGATTTAAATATTACAGTACTAACCTATTAACCCGTGTGTATGCTGAACATGTCTTGAGAAATTATCTTTACTCGAAAATTTTTTCGAACACAAATNTTTCTCGAAAATTTTTTCGAACACAAACTGCAGCCATATAAAATTTTGTTGTGTACTGTTTGCTCATGACGTATCAATGATTTCAAAAAATTGAACTTCATTCCACAAGTATCACACAAATAACACATAATGATGATTATGATATTGAAATAGAGAAGACTCTAAGGTGTCGATTAAACAAATGAAATACTATTAAACCAGAAAGGAGAGTTTTTCTCGGTTTTATGTACTTCATTTTGTAAACCTCGGCACATTTTATGCCAACGTGCAGCAGTCCTCAGGCTGGAGATGATTTTCCAAGAAATTTTTATTTAATAGACGTTTAATACACCTTTTATAACACCTTTATATATACTCTTTTTCATCAAGTTATTTTACTGATGTCGTATTATAGACGTATACATTGCTCTTTTTTACTGTTATCTGTACTTTGTAGACATTAAGTTTGCAAATTATTATTTTAAGTAATTACTTTCACACTCATTTTTCTTTTCATGTATATACTTTTAACGGTGGGATATTTTCTTTTTTAGTTTACACATTATAATTTAAAATACATGCGTTTGTTTATTTTACCCATAACTATTCATAAAATTTTCATTAGAGATTAAATTATATGTAATACAATTTTTAATTATCAATATTTTTTATTTTCATTTTTTTCAAACACAAAATTAATTCATATAAACATTATGTCATAACTCGAACTTTGATCTTTTCGTCCATTAGATACAATCTTAAGATCTTTATCGACTCCTTTTGCCAGATCTTCTCGAGTAAATGAAAACCTCGCTGGCAAATAAATTTGAAATGATGGTACGTCGTCAAGCTTCACCTCAGCCACTGGTGTTTCATTAGAATATTTTGATCTCATCACGTACAAACCCAAAACCTTGTACTGAACTCCTACTTTTAGATCAGATACATTCTTTCTGTGTTTTATTTTCATCCCATTTAACCAATCTTTATTAATAACGTTCATCTAAAGTATATTAATACATTTATAAAAAAATGTGTCACATTGACATTTTATAGAAATAAACATGAAAATACTTACTTTTTTATCAACTGACTTCGTAATATTATCGATAATGTTTTCTACAAATATTTGACCGTTCAACTGTCATAACTTCACTAACAATAAATTTTCAGTACACAGTTCGAATAGAAGTATAACAATATGTATATGATGTATGAATTTTTATACACCATATACATTTAAATATTAACTAATAAATATTGGTGGGAGGAGGAGGTGCTGCTTTCAGGCGTTTAAATGTAAAAAATGAGGAGGTAACGCTCCTCAAATAACAGTAGTGTCGTACATTAAATCATAATAAATATAAGAGAGGCGCTAAATAATATATATTATCTGTTATCAAAATAACCTCACTGATAAACACTTATCACACTATCCTATGAGTATAATAATGTAATAACGGAAATTATATAATCTGTTATCAAAATAGCTTCACTGATAAACACTTATCACACTATCCTATAACTATAACGCTTTTTTTAAATAAGTGGGAGGAGGAGGTTCCAATTTTTATGTGATAAGAGAGGAGGAGGAATTTTGGGAGGTGGCCCCACACATCATACGTGTCCCTTTTATTTAGCATACTTCTTTTAATCTGACTACTCTTTTATATAGGGGAATTAAAAATCTAATCATGCATATAAAAAAAAAGAAAATTTTTAATTTTTAAATTTAGTAAATTTAAAGTTTTAAATTTACTCCCACAATATTGTGTTATTTAAGCATATAGTGTGATTTTTTTTTAATATCATCTGCTTTTTTTTTTAATAAAAATATACATCATTACCGTCATGTCCGTTGTCGCGTGCGTTTGTAGTCGACAGGTCACGACGAAAAAAAACAAAACATAGTCCAAAGCGAATTAATAAAAATCTTTTTTGGAGACCACAAATCGAACACACACATTAGTTAATTAAGTGCTATTGAAATCGAGGTAATATTTATGAATTTACTTTATAATTTATTGATAATAGTAATAACTTTATCATACTCGATTGTGTAATCGAACTGTTTTTTACCACCGCAGCCGCTACGTCGGCCGTCGGTATCAAGGTCAACTACTCTAACAACTCATACCTAATACACAATGAATTCTCCCGGAAAATCACTATCAAATATTAATAAAAGTAAATTGAACAAAACCACTACACCACTGTTTATCTCCAACCTGAATAATAATACCGGTGATGCATCGCCTTGTGATTTCTCTGATAATGATGACTGGCAGACAATCGAACACCAAAATAAACGTATCAGATCCCCTAATAATAATTCACCACGCTCTAAACGATCTCATTCAAATAATTTTACGTCACCAAACCGTTTCTCTTCAATTGCACCAATTATAGAAGACGATCCAATGAACCACATAAATGAGCTTACGTTGGAAAGTAATAATAAAATTTCCAGGCCACCCCCAATATTTATTCAAGCTGAATTAAACTATAATAACTTTTGTTTTAAAATCAAAGAATTTACCGACACATTAAGTTTCGATTGTAAAAGTTCTACTAAAGGCCTTAAGCTCAAAACATACAGTTCCGACTCATATAGAACAGTAATAAAATATCTCAAAGAGGATAATGTCTCAATTCATTCGTTTCAAATAAAAGAAGAAAAAGTTTTTCGAATAGTAATTAAAAATTTACATTCTACCATTTATAAGGTTTGGTTGGGTTTATTAGCATGAACTTTCTATTAAGGGATTTACTGTCAGAAATATTATGCCAGTACTTTACAGACAAACTAAAACGCTTTTACCAATTTTTTTTGTTGAAATTGAGCCTAATCCTTCAATTACTGATATATATAAAATAACCTCATTGTGCTACACTAAAATCAAAATTGAACCCCCTCATTCAAAAAAAGAAATTCTGCAGTATCACCGATGTCAGGCTTATGGTCACACACGTAGCTATTGTAACCACACACCACGATGTGTTCGATGCGGTGAGCAGCATGATACAACTCTTTGTACCAAAAGTCGCACTTCTCCTGCCAAATGTGCATTGTGTAATGGTGATCATCCGGCAAATTATAAAGGCTGTCAAATTCATCTAGACATGAAAAAATATTTAACCAAATCACAAAAAAACCCGTGGAACAATAATCGTCCACTTCAAACCAACAATTTAACTTATCAGGACCAACCATTCTC